AACAGCATTGTTTATGTTAAACATTATTATTATTGATATCTACAAATTAAATATTATTATTAAAATATTAATTGATGTACGTATTTCATTTCAGATTCTTGGCAACAGGAGAATCTTTCCATTCTTTAATATTTGCATTTAGAATATCCCACAATTATATAAGTGTGATTATCTCTAATAAGTGATAGCAGCAATTTGTAAGAGATTAAATAATGTACTAATGCCTGCGCTAACAGAGGACACATGGAAAACAAATTCAATAGAATTTGGGAAAGATGAAATTTTCCAAATTGTGTCGGTGCAATTGATGGAAAACATGTTAGAATAGTTTTCTCTTCCAGAACTGGCTCTCAAAAAAAAGTTCAAATCTAAACAAAAACAATACCTTCCTATTGTAAACACAATCAGGTGTTGATAACCTACAAACTTTCAATTCTATGTTAAATTTTTTAGTGTTTTATGAAATAGACGCGTGCAGTCGCTGCAGAGCACTGGTATCATATGCAGTAGATGCAGCAGACGCATGCGATTTCTTGCGTCGGGCGCATAAAGCAGACCGCTTGCATAAAGTTACCATTTGAGGAGTACACAGCGCGTCGCCTGCGACTGCTGCTTGTGTCGAACGCATGCCACAATCGCATAAGAGAGACTGCACCTTTAGACTCTATATACAAACTTTTGAGTAATTCGATGCGTAAATTCTATTAGGTACGGGAGATTTTCCACTTTTAGCTAGTTTTAATGCATATTCTATTTCTTCTATCATAATGTAAGGACCAGTACCATGTTTGTCTCTTACCAAAAGAGGTGCTTCTTTCCTCTCTTTCTCATCAAAAAGATGTGGTATATATTCTGTCCATATATCCACTTTCTGGTTTAAATCATATTATTAATATTCATAATTAATAATCATAATTAAAGTCATATTCTTTTCCAAAATTCTTCCTGTTGTTAGCACTGCTCACGTAACAGTCTATCTAGCTTCTTTTATTTTCTTCTTTATTAATCGATCGATTTCTTTATATTTAATTAGATTTTTTATTTTGATGATTTTCTTTCACTCATTAAAGCAGTATTTCTTCAGTGATACAAACTTTGTTTTCTTTTGTTTGGTTTTAACTTTTCACTTCCTGTTTTATTTACTGCTTGTTGTATATTATGCTATTTCTGATCAACGTTACAGCTACTTTTATTCATTTCTTCTGCATTGTGTAGAGTTTCAGTAAAGAATTTTACAGTTTGTACCTTTGTTTGTGGTTCCCTTAATATCTTAATATCAATCCTGTTATAGTTCTGATTATGGTCTGAACCAATATCTTCTTCAAGTGCCATCTCCGCGGCGGAGGTCGGTAATCATCATAGCTATTCGGACTTTTGAGACGGCTGCTCTGAAAAGTTCATTTGATGTACATCCGTAACACTCTCTCAGGTTGCGCAGCCATGACATTCTACGCCTCCCTATGCTTCTCTTTCCGATAACCGATATCTGCTTTAAGGTAATTTTTAACAGAATGTTTAGAATTACGAATTATAATTTTTTTTTATTGAGTTAATGCCTCGACAACTATGATCATTGGCATGGTACAGTCAGGTACCTAGTGTAGTGTGTGTGTATATGTAGAGTAATTGTCTTGATACTTAGCAAAGTCGACGTCATTGTCTTTGCTAAGAGACGCTAATTGTATCCGAACATGGATAGAAATTATTTTCATTCATTAATTTTTAATAAACAAAAATTTCTCCACCCAGATAGGATTCGAACTCACGACCTTTAGGGTTAAAGGTAGGCGCTCTTACTATTGAGCCACAGAGAGGGTTGAATTATAATTAAAATAGAATAATATGCCTATTTACAGTTACGATAATAATGCGAAAGTTAATTCATGAAAGAACATAATATTATTTCAAAAATTTATCTCGGTTTTATTCTAAGAATTATTTAATCTTGTGTCAGCAGTTCTACACTTCTATCAGAATGAAAAATCATGTTTTTTTTTAATTTGATAAAAATTGGAACTGGTTACATTTAAGTGTAAGTATTGCTACATAATTCTAATAATAAAACTATTCATAATTATTTCGGTAATCTAAAAATCGTAGAATACACAGGATGATTGATTTGAAAAAAACAAAATTTCTTATGATATCAGAAAAGTGGAAGATCTAATAACGAAAATACCACATAAAGATTGGCCATATTACACAATCCCTAAAACAAATTTCATAATTATGATCCAAGCTACCTACATTTGAATAAACTTGTGTACCTATTTCACAAATATTCGAATACCTATTGTTATGCTTGCAAATATTATCTCGTAATTATACACTTATTTTTAATAAAACTATTTCATATTTAATATTTAGTATTTAATAAAACGTATTTTCATTGAATTTGATTGTTGATGTACTTTATATTACTTTTATTTGGAATGAATTAGTATGAAATTGTTACCTATACGATATTTTTCTAAAAAGTCAAGAGAATCTGCATCATAGTTTTCTTTGGCTGTTGAGAATTTATACACTGGTCCACCTGCAGAGATTTGCAGTGTATGTTCAGGATTTTTATCAAGATAATCAGTAATATCGTATACTCCTCGGTTGTATGATACCCACACTCCTGCTTTCCTATAAAAATAAAAAAATTATTTAGAAGTATAAAAGACAGAAAGTCTGCTGATCACAATACCAGTCTTCCTAAAACAATAATTTACTTATGCCAAAAATTGAAGTAAATAAGGAACCGAAGCTAAAATACCAGAAATTACCACAAAGGGTGGACTGGAGGTGAACAAAATAAGTCCATGAAAAAATAAATAGAAAAAGAAAAGAGTAGCATAATCCATGAATGGCGAAAGAACTTAAAATTCTAGAGAAAACCAATGCAGAGTTCGTACCAGTGAAAGAAACGAGTGAGCAGATATTGAACACAAGAGAGATAATAGAAAAAGCGATGCAATAAAATATACCAATGCTGCTCTGTTTCGTAGATTACACAAAGTTTTTTGATTCAGTAAAATGGAAACCTCTCTGGAGTATTAATGGGAAATATAGGACCATCTAACAGCCTAGTTAATAAGAAATCTGTGTGATAAAAGCTCAGCTTGATATCACTTTTATTGTATCATCATTATTATACAACATATTATATTCTGAATATATATTGAGAAAAGTACTAGACGAATGGGATAGAGAAATCACTATGGAAGACAGAAAAATCAGTAATCTGTGGTACGTAAATAACACACTTATACTAGGAGCGAATGAAGTCTAAATTACTACAATCACAGAACGGCTAAGCCGGATAAGCAAAGAATTTGGACTTTAGATAGAGATAGAGATATTAGACAGATCAAATAATAGTTATCGCACATACACCAAGTGGCGAATTTCGAAGTAGTAGACAGATTTGTATACTTGAGCTCCCTGATAACCAACAATGGTGATAGCTCCTCAGAAATCAAGCACAGACTAGGAACGGCTTGAACCGCAACAGATAAATTAATTAAAATATGAAAAACCGAACAGTAACGAAAAAAACTAAGCTCATGTTGGCCAATGCCCTTATTTTTTCCATTGCTAAATACGCAGCTGAAACATAGACTCTAAAAAAACGATAGAAGTAAGATCATTGCTTTCGAAATGTGGGTCGACAGAAGAATTCTACACTTGTTCTGGACAGAACACAGAACCAACCTGTCAATTCTTAAAGAACTTAATATAAAAGACAGGCTATTAAAAAACCGAGCATATCTAAATTACTTTGGCCGGCCACATAGCCAAAGCTGAAAAGGCCAACACCATCTTCATACAGGTCACAAAATTGATTTTGAAAACTCCAAAACCATAGCCCCATCCGCTTCTATAAACCAAGAGTTATCTGAGAAGCCATAGAAATTGAAAAAGGCGGAAATGTCTCAATAAGAGACGACGGCATATGGTTACCTTCAACTTGGAAACCTCTCATAAAGAAACTATCCACATAAGCTACATCACCATAGACCACAGTACCAGTAATGTATTGGTTAGTAATCAGTGTATGGGGGCTTGGGAGACTGAGACCTCGGAATCTGTGAAGAAGACATCGAAGAGGATGTTGACAGCTCGGCGCAATGATAATCGAAGCGGTTCAACCCGAAAGACTGTTGAGTTTAATATTAATTTCTCTAATCTAATAGTATTAGTCTTAGCTGTAGGTTTGAACTGCATTTGAAATAGTGGACCAATATAAAACTTGGACAAAAATAAATCCATACCCGGTGATAGACATTGTATAAAATATCGTTCAACTATCTGTCTCCTTTTAGGACGCACCATAGTCTATAGTGCCGCCCAAAGTAAATGTTGCCAATCGTCGTGTAATAATCCGATTTGCGGATCTTTTTGAGAGTTATATCTTCTTCATATCTTTAAATAAATCGGATATTTGCCTATATTTTTCATTTTATTTACCAATCTACTACAACAGACTAATAACAAAAATAAACTTAATGGTTTGTAGTTATTTCCTTTTTTTCCTGTAAATATTTTATGGTTAACACCTTATTTGATAAACATCTAGAGGAATGAGATTGGCAACACCGCTCAAAATATCCATCTGACTGCTTAGATAAACGAAAGAGGGGCTTGCCTAAGGAAGCGATAGGTGGTTTGACAGCATAATAAAATCCTAGATTTATGTGTAGCTTTCAATTTTTATACGTGATGGGCGGGGCAACCTATTTGGGTGGAGTTTTGACTTGTTCTTGAATGAGTTCAGAATCCAGCAGCCCGCTGAAGTATTGGATTTTTATAATATAATTATTTAACAACCTTTTGTTGGCCAACCACCTAGAGCGGAGTTGAGCCGAAAAACATATATTTCGTATGTTCCGAATTTATCTCGTTCAATTTGTATATAATATATATATATATATATATATATATATATATATATATATATATATATATATATATATATAATAAAGTCTTATCTCAGCATATTAACAGAGTGATAAAATATCAAAACTATTTTAGCATAAACAAAGAGTAAAAGTCGGTATTTACTAAAACAACTTGATTTCCAATATTTAAAAAAAAATGTCCAAAATAAACGTCATTTATGATGAGATGAGCAAAATTGTGTATTTTTGCTTCGAATTACCAGACTCTTCCGACGGACGGGACGATAGGAAGTCTAGAATTTATCGGCATATCTGCAAGGTGTTAGTTACTGCCAGGTTTTAAATAGTCTACCACTCGTCACTTTTTCTAATGGGGTTGCTAGTAGCTACTTACCTCGTTTTATGTTTTGCAACGTCCTCAGCTGTATAACTAGGTAACTCTTCATCATATTCACCAAGTACTACTTTACTAGTTGCTTTACCTAAAAATATTTAGATACAATGCTGGTGGTATTCTAGTCTACCCGATAAATTTTTTAGTTTTTTATATCTTATATATAAATAATTATCCAAATAAGTTTAAATGTATTAATAATATTTAACGAATTATGATGAGCCTTAGAAAAACTGGGAAACATAATTTTTATTTGTTAGGACAGAAATAGGAAATACTGAAAATATATCCAAAGAACAGCTCAATAAAACTATTACGCTTATTATTACTATTCAAGATGGTATAAAAGTCAACGGTAAAAGTCTATATTAGAATTATAAAGCTAACGTTAAAGTGGAAGATCGGATACTCAAGAAATAGAAATATTTACAATGAAATAGAGGTGCATCTTTTTACCATTGCTGTTTAATGTTTGTAGTGAAAGTTTGTGCCAGAAAGAAGAAACAGTAGTCAACGAGGAAATTAAAAATATCGTTGAATACTGGAACCACACAGTATTATTTACATTAACGGAAGAGAACTTATAGTCATTAATTGCATTACATAAAAAACAGAAAAAGAAAAAAGTGTAAATACAATCTTAATGTGAATTTTTGTGAACAAAACAGAAACTATCCTAAATTCCCATTAAAAATATATTAGTAAACAATAAACTAATTGATCAAGAAGTGGAAAGCTTGTTTGTTGAAAATACCTCCCTTTTTTAGATACATTAAAATTTAAATAGAGAACAAGAATAGACAAGGCAAGTATAATTTCCTGCAACTAATAATAGAATGAAAAATTTTCCATAAGGCACACGCGGTCGTGGCAAATAACGTATCAACGTAACATAAAAACAATAGGTAGTAGACCTACAACAAATGCTAATAAGGAAATTCCAAAGTAGTGCAAAATTTGCAGCAGTAATCGCCAGCCAACACTAAGGAGACACCTTCCAAAAACAAGAAACAGCATAAAACAAAAAACACTACAAACATTCAATAACGTAGGAAAATAATAAATATTAGAAATTCTATTACTTACCAAGTAAATAGGTCACCGATCCCACAAAAGCGCCTCCTATAACAAGTGTTTTTAAAAGGGCTGCTCGATCTTTTGTAAATTTATTTGTGTGAAACTGTTTATAATAGTTTTGACTAAAATCATTATTATTTATTCTATTAAAATCATAATCGGGAAACGACTGTCCACATATTAAATTAAGTTTTGATTTGGGAAAACGTTTGCTGGAATTTTTAGGGGCATTAAGATTACAAAATTTCTGTGCAGTTGGACTTGCTTTTTGGTATGTTCGAAATCCCGTCGACAGCCTAAAATAAAATGGAGTTATTTTTAGTTATAAGTACTTTATTGATACCGACCTTCTCAGAGCGCCTTTAAAAAGTTCCATTTTTTAAAACACAAATGAAAAAATAACTTGACATATGTTAAAACATGACAGAAAATATGAAAGTCCTAGTTTTAGATTTCATTGAAAGTGGATATACAAAGGAGGCGTATTACAAAAAATTGCTTTATGAGATGCATAACATCTTCATCCATCTTTTCAATATGTTGTAAATCTTCATATGTCTTATTTTAAGGACTACTGCTCTAAAAAATATTATTTTAAATATATATATGTAGTTAATTCAAACTAGTATTTATATATTTTAAACTTTTCTTTTTCTTGTGTGTCCTTTATTAAATATATTTTAGGTCTATAGGCAAGCTAGAAATTAAGGCAGAAGATATGGATATGTTTTATGAAAAATGGGAAAGATAAAATAAATATTTGCCAAAATATTACATAAAATGGTAATACATTGATAGATTTTATTGCAATGACAGGAGAAGATATGAAAGTAAAATAGGAAAAAATACAAAAAATGAATCAACAAATGACAATGAAGAAAGTATAATAAAATTTTTGCAGTAGAGAATGGAATGTGTGTAAAGACTACATAGCTACGTAGGAAAGAATAATATAAGAGGACGTTGATTTTACCTGGCGAAAGAACAACAAATTAGAGTAAAGCCGTAATAAACGAAATAAGAACTATAAATTGTACCTATACGGGTAATTCCAAAATAACTTAAAATGTTGAACCAGACAAATAGAAAGAAATTTTTTTCCTTTCTTGTTAAATTTAGCGATAGACAAAAGTAATTTAATATGAGACCACAAATATAGTATAAGCAGTGAGATTTTATAATTTTTGTTTAGTGAAGTTATACTTCTATACGCATGCTCGACGTTGGAAATTTGTACAGGAGTGAATCCGTGAAATCATTACATATGTAAAATAATGAGTAAGAGAAATACAGAAGATATATTTTCTCTCTCTTCCTCTCTCGAGAATAAAAATGTTCCTTTTGTATATACTTCATCTAATTTACTTACCGTTGCACGTCATCCGCGTCATAGTCCGTGAGGTCACATGATGAGGTCTCTGTTGGATTTGTTTTTTCAATAAAATGAGCTAACCAGTCTCTAAACAGATTTGATTGAACCCACCCAGACGGGTGAGCTCTTCCAATTGACCCAGGAGGAGCTCCTTTCATAAGGAGATCAGACATGTTTATCCTTGAGAAAATCAACATCGGAGGGACATAAGATCCTCCTGCACTCATTGAACATATGACTGTGACCAAAGATCCACGTTCTGCTGCAGTTAGAGAACATATTTGGCGTTTACCTTTACTGGCAATAACTTGTGGTATTTTTGTCTGAACTACACTCAGGCCCGTTTCATCCACATTCCAAATACGGTCACCTGGGTATTTGTGTTTTGAATATTCGGACTCCAGCAAGTCATAAAAGGCATTAACTCTTTCACGAGTAAAACCTTTTGCACGAGCATATGATGTTCCAGTTGGCTTTCGGATTGACAACTTGTCTTTGTGTCGTCTAAGGAAATGGTCCAACCAAGCCCTGCCAGCAATTTCGTTTCTAAAGTTGGTTTGAATCCCATTTCTAATTGCTAGTTGGTAAGCCATTCGACGAACATCCAAGCGAGTGAACCCGTAAAATTTTGCCTCCATATACTTCAGGTACTCCACTAGTTCATTTTCCAGTTCTTCAGGTATAGCTGGTTTCCTACCTAGCTTTTTTGTGTGAACTTCAGTGGCTTCAGATGTACTTGCCTCTTTAACATATCTTCTTAAAGTGGTCTTAGGCACATCAAAATGTTTAGAAGCCTTTTTGACACCCATTTTCTTTTCAGTGACAGCTGCTACTGCTTCTTTCATTTTGTCCTTGTCCCAAATTTGCCTTTTTCTGGCTGGTTTAGGTGTTAAGCTGATTCTAGGCATCTGAAAAATAAAAAAACCACAAATATTGAAACTGCTTGTAATATGGACCCCGTGGTCCATATTACCATTACCTAGGGGGGCCATAATACACACATCTCCAAGTTTAAAACACGTGGTTACAAGATAAAATGTAAAAGACTTAGAACATTCTAGTCTGTGTTAAACTGTAGGTAATAACCTCTAATTCATATGCACGATACTTAGAACTAAGTTATTATTAGTTATGGTAAGTTAAAATCAAGAAATTTACATACCTTTCAAAGTTTTGAAGATTGACCAAAACACAAACTACTGCACAATTACTGAGTGACTGCACTTAATGGCTCACAGCGCTCCTACCGGCCAGTTGGTATACTAGTGAACTAGTTCCAGCGTTCTCCACTAGATTTCAGCACTTTGTTATTAAAATACGGAGGGGGGCCATAAAATATGCAGGGGCCATATTACCACCTTCTCCTCTAATTTGCATACTTTTTATGCAAGTTTCTATTGTGCCGATTAAGACTTGATTGGGTCTGAAACACCTTATTACACTCAAGACAAAACACTCCCATTTTCTCTTATTTTTGAAGAAAGAAATCTACAATTAAAATACCAACAAATTGACCGTCAAAAAATAATTATATATTATTTATCTATGAAATAATTTCTTAGGTTATACGGTAATATACCAAAAATCACGTGTGCGTGGTGACATCACGTTAAGTTTAGAAACTGATTGGTGACGTCACGGCACGATCTGCGAAGTCTTCCTTTTAGGTGCTCCTGATATTTTGGCATAAATTGGTAACACTTATTTGACAGTTGCGGTGTTTAATTTAACTTCTTATAAAACACTTTAATTTAACATAAATTTAACATAAAACGTAAAATGTTTGATGTAAAATACTATTATTCTGTTATTTGTCAAACCCTGTTATTAATTATCCTGCTGATATATTTATTTTACTTAATATTTTGTTAACTATTAACTTTAGTTAAAGTAGTTAAAGGTATTTTATACCAAAATTCAGAAGTATTGATGTTTTTGTCTATTTTTCCTTCTTTGCCTGGAGTAATTGCCTTAAATCAGAATTATGCAGCTGATTTGTAAAATGCGATTATCTCGAAAGCTGTTGAGTTTTAAAGTTATTAACAAGTATACATTTTTTTTTTTTTGTTAAAATATTGTATCTTTAATATTTTTTGTCACAAATACAGGTAACTTAAAGAACAAAAAAGTTAAGTGCAAATTTATGCCACATATGTAGCATATGTGGCGCCCTCTATCAGCTACATGAAAGCGTGCATCAAATTATAATTTCTCATATTTAAAAGTACCTAGCTGTAAATTTTTATACATAAATGTTTACAAACATGAAAGTTATGGCAAAAAATAAAATTTTAAATTTGCACTTAAACACCCTATATCTTCCTTAATATCAACATTTTATTAAAACAATTTGGCTTAAATCGTAATATTTTAAAGTGTAGAATCTACTGTTTCTTTTTGTACAATTACTGGACCACCCTGTATATGTAATATATGCAAAAATGCTAAATTTTAAAATAAAATTAAAATTTATAACATAATCTGAGTTGTTCGTTTTTTATTTTTATCCTCCACAAACATTTTTTGAAGTTATACTTCTATACGCGCGTTCGACGTTGGAAATTTTCTCTCTCTTTCTCTCTCAAGAATAAAAGTGTTCCTTTTGTAAATATATTTAATATTTATTAATATTATTATTTTTTTATTATTATTATCATGCTAAATTAAACATATGCGTAAGTAAGTTATGTATATTGTCAGTTTTAAATACATATTAATATTGCATTTTAATTAATATTGTATAATTACATTGAATTATGTTGCAGTGTATTGTATTGTATGTTTATATTAATAACAAAATAAACAATAAATTTTATTGCAGAGTATGTGCAAAAAAAATTTTTGCATTCACTCCTTTTATACATATCATGAAAATAAAAATATATATTTTCATTAAAATATTGATTCAATCCTTCATTTACTATACTCCTATTACAGGTCAAATGTTTATATACAGCAAACGATGCACCATATACCTAATTATTTTTCTTTTTGCTCTCTTTTACCTATAGCATTACATATGTAATGATTGTGCAGATTGACTTCCATATAAATTTGTAACGACAAATGCGTGTATAGAAGTATAACTTCTACCGGCAGTCCCAATGGATTGCCACACCTGTTTTTTTGCTCCTGAATCCACTTTGCTTCGCATCATCCGCAGCTGAATTCTCTATTCCTTTTTTTTTATAATCTTGTCGTAAAATGTAGAAACAGAGTTTGTTACACTTAATCCTCTACAGTTGGAACACTTGCTTCTGTCGACTTTTTTTATGAAACTCCAGTCATCAGAGACGAAAATACCACTGAGCCTCTAAAAATCATACGAACAAGCTGAATTTGGCTGAGAATGTCAATTTTGTGACCCAAAAAAAGATGCAAAAAGTTTACCACTTTTAGATTTACCCCACTTTTAGGTGGGGTAAAAGTTTTAAATTTTTTAAAGAAGCCTAAAAGTAAAACTTTTACTTTTACTTCGTTTAAGACGAAAAAAATCGATTTATTAAAAATCTGTACGCCGTAGAAAAAAAAACGTAGCTGAGATAAGTTTGAAAAAAAATGTTTATTACCACTTTATGTGTGGAATGAACTGTTTTGTTTCAGAAACAACTCTGGAAGAGACCGGTGATGTTGAATATCAGCTATGTGCGCGAAATCAATTTTAAATAACATTTGTATTAACCGACGGTAAAAATTCGATATCTTTTGATAAGTGTTTGGGAAAGTATGTGCGAATGCATTTCATATTTTTACAGTTAATATTTTTTCTGTTACGGTACTGTAATGTGATCTAATTTGGTGCTGTATTTTAAAAGACCTTTTTGAAATATATTGTTTCCTGTTGTCTCATAAAACTTAAACTGGATATCTCATTTATGATGTTGTGAATACGGAGAATTTGGCTTTTTCCTTTGTATTCAAGATAAAGATTCAAATACAAAGATCGAAACAAGTGGTTGATTTATGGCATGCCCGGCCTATGAGATGTTGACCATCCCACCAGAGGGTGGTTTGTGCCCGAGATGCTCTCAAACCCTCAAGATTGGCACTTCTTCGTCAG